ATGGGGCCCGGAGCTGCAGCTCCTTCTGAACCTTACCTTCTAGTCCCAGGAGCAGCAGCAAGAGCAGGTTGGAGCCCATGGCTGGGCAGAGAAATGTCAGCTCCTGGGCTTGCCTGGGCACTGAGACAGCATTCCCCCGAGGGCAGGAAACATCTGCCTCAGACAGTCACGTGGGGTTCTCAGTGACCATGGGGTGGGAGGCAGAGACTGGTGGGCACCTCCAGGGGTGGGGAAAGGGAGCTCTTCCAAGCCCTGGTTGGCTCAGTGCTCAGGAACTACCCCGAGGGTAGGGGTGGGCAAAACCGGGTGAGAAGACCCAAAGAAAGCCAGAAGCCTGTGGGGGCTGGGGCCCAGCTAAGGAGTGAGAGGGGAGGAGAATTGTGACAACTGGAGGGTGAGAGGAAAGGTGATCTTCAGGGTCTTCCTACTACAGAATCTGAGGGTGCACAGCTGTGGAGGAAGGTAGAGTACCCTGCACCTCACCCAAGGCCATTCTCACTCTCAGTTCTTCAGGAGTGTCCCCCCACCACCCAGGCTTTCAAGAGGTTGTCCTGGCATGCAGCACAACCTCAAACAGGAATTTTCACCTTGATCCTGTGCCCCAGACTGGGTCTTTCTTCATTTATTGTCCTGGACACTCTAAACCCTTTCTTCAGTTCTTGGAAACAAATTCTTTCTTTGATACTTAACATGTCCATTTTCTTCTTCCCCTCCATTTTTCTGCAGTTCTTTAACTAGTCAGTTATTAAATGTCATGTCTCATTTTCATATGTGTTCACCTAATTTTTATCTTTTCCCTCATTTTCCATCTTTTTGTCTGTTTTGTTCTGCCTTCAAAATTTTCTCATTTTTCTTCCATCTCTTCTATGATTGTCTTTTAAATGTTATTTTTTAATATTTTTAATTTGTAAGACAAGATATTTCTTATTCTTGGGGTGTTTTTCAATTCTGGCATACCATTTTTGTTTCATGAATGCTCTGTCTTCTCTGTTGGAAGACAATTCTTCATTAATATTTTCACATTGCCGCATGTTCTAGTCCTGTGCAAAGGGCGCTGGCCAAGCTTTGCTGAAGGGTGATTGAATAGCAAACACGCCTTGAGTGCGACATCCAGAGATTTGCTAGCATTCTTCCTCTTCACCGGAGATTTGTTTACATTCCAGAGTAAAGGTTTCTCTCTCTCTCTCTCTCTCTCTCTCTCTCTCTCTGTCCCCGCCCCCTCCCCCAACCTTCTCTCTCTCTTTTCCAGAGAGGAAGATAGACCAGATTCTCCAGATAAACTCCAAGTCTCATAATTTGGGGGTTTCTCTCCTGTGATGCAAACTCATAGCCTGCACAGGAGGCACCTGGCTCTCATTCTTGTTGCCCTCTAGAATTGGGCTCAGGGAACTGGAACAAAAATGTGAGTAATAAACCTAATAAACTATCTGACCTCAGACACAGGGAAAGCACCAGTGGTCAAAGAGACTGCAGCAGCTGGGGATGGGCAGGAGGGGTGCATCGCCCTCATCTAGAGGGCAAGACCTAGAAAAGAGCCTGGAAAGATCATTCCCCCTCACTCCCATTTCCTCCCTTCTCTTCTTATTTTTTCCTCTCTTTCCTTCCTTCTTTTGGGAACAAGAGAGTGAGGAATGGAAAACTGGGAGCAGAAGCCTGAGAAAGCCAGTTAATGTGTTAAGCCTCGTGGAAGTGACCAACTTCCCTGTGAAGTAGAAGTGAAGATTGGGTGACCAACTTTCTCTTTTGCTTGGGACTGAGGACGTTTCTTGGGACACGGGACTTTCTCTGCAAAAACCGAAAAAGTCCTGAACAAACCAGGACAGGGTCACTCTAGTTGGTGATGTGTTTACATCTTACCAGTGCATATCTTTGAATTTTCACAAGAAAGTTATTTCCACACTAACAAACCACCTGGGCATGTTGTGTGAAGATGGAGACTGTATTCAACACTGAACTAGGTGTTGAATATGGTCCATTGCTGGGTGATGGGACAGAGGTGACCAGGCAAGATGCTGGCCTTCATGGAGGCATTGTGTTGTTGGGCATTAGATAAAGGAAACTAGTGTTTATTGAGGACCTACTGTGTGCCTGGCCAAGGACCTTCACAAATGTCCTTTCTTTCTTTTTTTTTTTTTTTTCTTTTGAGAGAGAGTCTCACTCTGTCACTCAGGCTGGAGTGCAGTGGCACAATCTTAGCTCACTGCAACCTCCACCTCGTAGGTTCAGGCGATTCTCTGCCTCAGCCCCCCAAGTAGCTGGGACTACAGGCATGCACCACCTTGCCTGGCTTTTTTTAAATTATTTTTTGGGGTGGGGGTAGAGATAGGGTTTTGTCATGTTCACCAGGCTGATCTTGAACTCCTGGCCTCAAATAATCTGCCCCCCTCAGCCTCCCAAAGTGCTGGTATTACAGGCATGAGTCACCACATCCGGCCACAAATGTTATTTCTTTCAACCTCACAAAAACCAGTGCAAAGTAGGGGAAGTGGTTGTTTTGTTAATTTATTTCTACTAGTGAGGACACCGAGGTCTAGAGGGATTGAGGAACTCGCCTAAGATGTCTTAGTAGAAAGCAGGGTTGAAATTTGAGGCCAAATGGCCTCACTCCCCTTCAGTCCAGGGTGCTCCCAGAGAATCTGAGGCAGAGGTGCCCGTGGTGATTCTAATCCAGAGGTGCATGTCTCTGACACAGCAGAGAAGGAAAGAGAAAGGCCAAGCTCCCATGAGAAGAAAATCCTGATTCTAGGCTGGGGCTGACAGCAGCCACTGCGCTCCAGCACCAGGCAGGCCCCGGGGAGCCCCCCAGGCCATTTCATCAGCATTGGTGCCCACAACTGGGGCAGAAGGTAGGTGGAGAAGGCGCAATTTGGGCTCGGCTCATTCTTGGTGTCTGTACCGTGCCCTAGATCTATAGAAAGCGGAGCACTGCCCCAGGACACAATGAGAAAGTTGAATGTGCCCCTGAGCCAGGGAGGCCACGAGAATACAGATTGGACCAGAATCCCAGGGCTCTAGGGCAGGAGCCAGTGGAGCAGCTTATATGGGGAGTGGACAAGGCAGCGTTGGAGCACAGCTGGGACCAGGGGAGTGATGTGTTGAAGGGAGGCTGGTACATGAGGACTGTGCCAGGGGCTCCATCCTTGTGATTAAAAACCTCAGGGCCAGGTGCAGTGGCTCACGCCTGTCATCCCAGCCCGTTTGGGAGGCCGAGGCAGGTGGATCACGAGGTCAAGAGATCGAGACCATCCTGTCCAACATGGTGAAACTCCATCTCTACTAAAAATACAAAAAAATTATTATTATACTTTAAGTTCTGGCGTACATGTGCAGAATGTGCAGGTTTGTAGTTCTCATGGGATCTGATGGTTTTATAAGCGATGGTTTCTCCGTGCTCTCTCTCTCTTTCCTGCTGCTTTGTGAAGAAGGTACCTGCTTGACCCTCACCTTCCACCATGATTGTAAGTTTCCTGAGGCCTCTCAAGCAATGAAAAACTGTGAGTCAATTAAATCTCTTTCCTTTATTAAAAAAAAGTATATATATATATATATATATATATATATATATATATATATATATATATATATATATATATATATATATATATACACACACACACAATTAGCTTGGCATGGTGGTGCATGCCTGCAGTCCCAGCTACTTGGGAGACTGAGGCAGAAAAATTGCTTGAACTCAGGAAGCGGAGGTTGCAGTGAGCTGAGATCGCGCCATTCCACTCCAGCCTGGTGATAGAATGAGACTCTGTCTAAAAAAAAAAAAAAAACCTCAGGTGCCCAAGTCCAGATTAGGTGGCATGGGGCAGCCATCTGAGCTGTGGCCACCGGGGCTCTTGGGTATCCGCTTCTCTGGGGCTCATCCCAGAGAGCCTGAGAATATGGCCAACTCGCTTCCTCTTTCCCCTGCAGCTCACCCTCAGGGGAGTCTCCTCCCAGTTTCCCCCTGACTCTTGGCCTGGCTGGTGTGTGTGCTGAAGAGGGACATGAGGTTGCGTGGGCTGCCCTGGCTGTTCCCTTGGCCCTGAATACTCCTCCTCGTGATGTCCTCATGATTCACTTCCTTGCCTCCTTCCGGTGTTCCTCAAATGGTACCTTCCGGCTGCCGCATTTAAGATGGCGTCACCCCTGTCCCTCCTGCACACCCATACTCCTAACCCTGCTTCATGCTAATTTTTTCCTCAGCACTTTTGCCCTCTGACAGGCTATCAGATTTACTTACTGTGTACATGGTCTGTCTCCTCTCCTTCCACTAAAAGTGAGCTCTGTGGGGGAAGAACTCTCACCTGTTTTGTTCACGGTTATGTTTCCAGTGCTCAGAGTAGTACCCGCCATAGACTAGTTGCTCAAACTAATACTTGTTGAATAAATAAGTAGGAGTGAGTTAGAGGAAAGAGCACCTTGAATACCAAGTGAAATTTGGATTTCCAGGCTCTACTGGGGATTTTGGGTGCGTTCCTTTCCCTTGTTGAGCCTCAGTTTTCCTTCTATATGATGCGGGGCTTGAACCGTCAGCTCCTAGTTTGATATGCTGTGCTTTATCAAATGTGATATGCTATATTTAACAAGCCCTTGTCATTTCTCCAAAAGGGAAGTGGCATGATGAAAACAGAGTTCTAAGGAGATGAATGGGTGAGTGGGCCAGGATTTGACCTTGGTGGGGGAACTGAGTCAGCTGGAGGGGGCTTTGGGGCAGGGAGGCCCCATAAGCCAAGGGAAGCGGATAGAGAGGGTGAATGCTGGGGAGGAGAGCAGAAGAAGACTGGATGCTAGAGAAATCCCAGAGGAGGAGGCAGGACTTGGCAATCAGATCTAGGGAGGCAGGAGAGAAGGAAAAAACTGGCCGACTGGAAACTGTGGGAATGGGGGGATGTGGTATCCTATGGTCCTGGGCCTCAAGGAGCGAGGTCTCTTATCTTTTTCTCATCCAAATTTATTTTCCTACCCCTGTAGAAGAAAATGAGACTTTCATGAAGCCCAAAACTATGCAGTTAAATATGACAGTCTTGGATTTATTTATGAGTGTTAATGTCCAATGCCCAGAAGTTGTCAGGTGATCTTACCACCTCCCCTCTCCCTCAACCTGTCCTTGCTTCCAGGGGTCCAGGAGAAGCAGGGATTCAGGCAGAGTAGCCTCTTGCCAGAGCAGAAGAACCAGGAGTCCTGGTGGCCGAGTGGCAAGTGTTCAGGCTGGGCTGGTCCCTGGTGGGACTTCTCCTGGACTTTTCCTCCCATCCTCTTCCTTCACGTGTCTCTCAGCCCTGCAATAGTCCAAGGACTCATGCAGCCCCTCTCAATGCCACCTCCCATCCCTGCCCAGTCCACCCTCAATGGCTGTGCTCTCCAAGCTCACCTGGCAGAGTTTGGAGCTGGTGCCCCGGGTCATAGCCACAGTCCGGCTCACTGCGTGGATGTGTCCCTAGCTTCTGCCCGTGCCAGGCTGCAACCCAGAGGGCGCTGGCTGCTAGAATCTTGATGAGAAAGATGCAGGCCAGGAGGAGAAGGATGGAAGTGGGTGGGAAGGGGATTTCTTCTTCCAAGAGGCTCCTTGGAGAGACAAGGAGGGCAGGTGGGAGCCTTGAGATGGCCTACAGACTAGAATCTTCTCTCAGGGAATGGGGAGAAACCAGGAGCTTCTAGGAGCTCAGCACACTTCCCTACCCAGAACCATCCCTGGGAAAGGCCTTTTGGGGGGCTTTGGGAGCTCGTAGTCAAGAGGCTTGGGTTCTAGGCATGCTCTGCCACTAACTTGCTGAGTGCACTTAAACACATCACCTTCCCTCAGTGAGTGGTTTTCTTCTGTACATAGCAGTAATACCATGGTGTGTGTGTGTGTGCGTGTGTGTGTGTGTGTACATACACGTGTGCTTAGGTGGCTATAAAAGCAATGTTTAACTATCAGTACGCAGGTATGGACCAGTCAGAACTGATTCTGGTTCTACCAAAGAAGTAGAGATCTGGGGGTCCTCGCTTTGTACTAAAGTACGAAAACTTTCATTGTTGCTGAATTTTGGGGATGTCTGGGAGCTGCCAGGGAGGGGTGGGAGCTGCCATTTAGGAGTCTTAGAGCAGCCACTCTTTACAAACCATTATGGAAGCCTTCCAATGAACGAACAACTGACACAGTTACACTAACTAACACGTAGCAGCTGGCTGGAGGGGTATTTAGGTAAGACACATCCAGGGCCCTTCAGGCTCCAGTTGCCTTGTGATTTGTAGTTCAGGACGCCCAGCCCTCACCCCCTGTCAGGCTCTGCAGGGTGAAAGTCTCCCCACGGGTTTTAGGAAAGACCCATCACTTTACCTGGAGATGCTGTGCTCCACATGGACATCCTCGAAGCTCTCAGACTCCCCGGGGACCCAGAGATCTCCAGTGTCCTGGTGATCGTGATCCAGGGGGTCTGTGTGAGGCAGAGCCATGAGCCTCCAGCCCTTCCTCCTTGAGGCAGGGGGAGAACTTTGGTGGGAGAACCCTTATGGGTGGGGTGAGGTCACCTGGGGTCTGGTGCTATGTGGATCAAGTCATTAAGCTTCATAAGCCTCAATTTTCCCACTTACAAAGTGGGCAGTTAGGAACACTTCCTTAATAGCAGGATTGCCAGGATTCCGTGATGGCACCTCTGTGCAGTGTCTAGCACCTCATCGGAGCCCATTAACTGCAACACCCCCATCCTTCCACACAAGGGCTGAGAAGGGCAGATGCAATCCTGAATGTACTTGAATATCCTATGTAAACTGTCAAACCGTCTGCACGAGCTATGAGTTATTGTTATTTTTCTGTCTCCCTCTTGAGAGCTGACTAAGGGAGTTCACCACGACCCACCACCCTTAGAAAAGTGGTGGAGGTGGGGTTTGCATCTAGGGCCGGCAGTCTCCCCTGACCTCCCCACATTAGGCGAATACTACTCCTGACCTCACTTCCATGGTAAAGAGCCGTACTGGGGAAGGGGTTGGAAAAGAGGAGATTCAGAAAAGGCCTCTGCAGCCCCAGATCTGTTCTATGGGTCACAGTTGTGTTCTGGACACTCAAGCAGATCTTCCGGGATGGTGGTCCCTGCACAAAGCTCGGGGGTGTGGGAAGGAGACACCCTGGCTCACCTACCCACACCTGGAACGACGGTCCCAAGACAGTTCAGTAGCAGGAGGCTCAGAGCAAATGACACATCCTGCCCCAGCCCCCCAGAACTCACGGGAACCCTGTGGGGCAGCAGGACAGACACAACCCTCTCCATTCAAAGGTGAGAGAACGGAGGTTCAGAGAAGTGAAGCACATTGCCTGGCCCAAGCAAGTGTTCCTTTCTAGGGGTGATTTTCTGCACCAGGTTGCTGCTTAACTTTTGTTAATAGGGCCACTGGCTGGTTGGTGAGGGAATCAATTAACCTCCTCCTCCTCCTTAAGGACCTCCTCTCATGTTCACATGCTAACTGGATGGAGATGGAGAAAGCTGTTTGGGGAAGCAGGGCCAAGGCCAGGCTGGCTCACAGAGTGCCTTAATGCAAAGTAGAGAAAGGTACCCTTTTTGGCAGGTTGATGCAGCTCTGTGCCAGAAAGCACAGCCTGGCGAAAGGATTCTGGGGTGGATTTCGACCCCCTTGTGCAGTGAGCAACCTGCACAACTATCCTTGGTAGCCCTGAATGGGGAGATGAGACCCACACAATGGGTTTTCCCAGGATCCTTGAGAGTCCAGAGGGTGATTCTGCACACAGACACCCAAAACATGAAGCCTGGAACAGGGGCAGGCCAGAGAGGCAGCCACCACCCACTCACCTTCCAGCACCTCCACCAGCACCCTCCTGAGGGTGTCAGCCTCGCTGCCATGGAGGATCTGGCACTGGTAGAGGCCTGCATCGTGGGGCTGTAGATTCCGCAGTGTAATGGTGAGAATGCCACCCAGGGTATCGTCTGTGATGACTGTGCTCCCATTTCGCCTCCTCAGGAAGGACAGCAGCCACAAGTTATGCGTGCTGACCACACGATGGCATGGGCCCTTCTCACCCAGCTGGCGGCACCAGGCCTTGCGCCTTCCCCATTGCTTCATGGAGTCATAGGGGCAGGACACCTGCAGGGACTGGCCCGCCACACCCTGGAACACTGTGGTGTTGTGGGCTCCGGACAGCTCTGGGGAGGAGACATTCATTCACTTCTTCATTTACCAAATACGCATTGAACACCTGCTCTGTGCAGTGACCTAAACAGACAAAAATTCTGCCCAGACGGAGCTTGGGTTCTTATACAAGTTGGGAGCAGATGGCACAGCCCAGGCATGTGTTTGTGGGAAATTGAGAACCAGGAAACCTGGGATCTGGGTTTGGTCTTCTCATTATTGGGCTTGCTGAGCCTCTTTAGAGAAGTAACTGACCCTGCTGGGCCTATTCTGAAGACACTTGGTCTTAAGACCCCCTCCAGTTCTGTTCTGCACACGTCTTTGCTGTCATACAGGACTAGGACCTCTCAGCTTGGGGCTGGCTGGGCATGCACTCCCTGCCTCGCCACTCCTGCTTGCTCTGCAGCCGCCCACGTTGGTACTGACTTTCCTGACCTTTAGCTTCCAGCTTCCCTATTTCTGTGGCTTTGTTCCCCTTTCAGGAAGGACCCGTCTCAGAGATATTTTGGGGGAGACATGAGACTGCTATTTTGGAAACCCTCCTTAGGGTGGGGGTGATGGGCTTAGAGCACCAGGCTATACTGCTGGGGTGTGGGCTGTAGCAGAAGCCCCCAGAGCCCTCTGCTGTGACTTCTCTCTTGGTCCTCCCTTGCCTGCCATCTTCAACCATGACTGTGACAGAGGCTTGAAAGATAGCACTGGGGAGCTGGTGGCCTGTCTTCTGAAACTAGAGAGACCAGATGGGCAGTGACCCTTTCCCACCTCACCACCTCCTATTCACGCCCCAGGACTCCACCTTCCCCTGCCCTCCCCATCTAGCAAGCTGCAGGAACAAGACTCCATTTGACACCATCTCTCCTCTTGCCCAAGTTTGTCCAGTGCTCTGGGGGAGCAAAAGGTACACTTCCCTCAGTGGGAAGAAACAATCGTTTACAAAAATTTGGTGTGTCAATTTCCCCCAACTCAGTGACAGAAATCTCCGGGCCCCTTACCTCCCATCAAGAGCTGAGAGGACTTTCGGAGCAGAGGAGAGAGTGCCCCAAAGATTCAGATGAACGTCCTAAGGTTCTTTCCTCCTTTATAACTGTAGGGGCTCATAATTAGTGGCTTATAATTTCAGAGGCCATTCCCAGTGCCAGTGCCCCCCAAAGCTTTCCCCAACTGCCAGCTAGTGCCTGGGTTGCCACTGTCAGCACTGCTTCCCTCCCAATGCAACCAGAGCCCACCAGCCCCTTACATGTCCACAGGCAGGAAGAGTCTGGGGCTGGGTTTTGATACGGGATAGGGAAGGAGGGTGTGAAGAATATGGGCAGAGTGCGGAGGAGAGGAGTGCAGAACAGGACACTCAGGCATACCGAGGACTGCCACCGCCTTCATAATTCCTCCCATGGCCCGCCACCTGCTCCCCAACCACATGCTCAAAGTGAGGAAAGAAGGCATCCCAGGGCATGGCGGGGGTCCTACCTGTGACAAAGAGTAAGATGAGCAGCCGGAGGGGCTCCATACCACCCTGTCCCAGCTAAGGGAAGATGCAGACTGTCTTGTGCAAGATCTTGTCTTTCCCTTGAACTGCAGAAGAGAGGATCAGTCATGTCAGGCACTGCCCACAGGAACTGGGCTTCTGGGGATTGAGCAATAGTCAGGACTGGGGTCTGGAGGCCATGCAGGGTGGGAAAGGAGGGGGAGGAGGAGTTGGTCATTGCAGCCCTGGCGGAAGGAGGCTGTCTCCCAGATCTCTGAGAAGCCAGCCCACCCTCCTGCTGGTGCCAGCCAGGGTGGCCCCCAGATGGCTGAGGCTTGTAAGGCCCTGCACTGCTCAGTTTCCTTGCAGAGCCTAGCCCAGGGATCACAATCCTCATAGCTGTATTCTACCAGCCGCAATGCCCGCCATCTTCTGGTTTCAGCCTGCAAGGGTTGGAGAACAGCTGTGCCCTCAGAAGCCAGGACACTCACCCAGCCCCTCTTAGTTCTTTCCCCCAGGGCTGTCATTCCTGTAGTGTGGCAGCAGTTAAGTACACAGCTCTGGAGCCAGGCTTCCTCACTTTCTGGGTGTGTAACCACCCATCCAAAATCCACCTGTGTCTCAGTTCCCTGATCCGTACAGTGGGAATAATGATAGTGCAAAGGGTTATCAGGAACACCACGTGGGTTCCTACAGGTAAAGTGCTTTTCAGTAGGGCCTGACATACAGCATTCAACGAATATGAACTATTACCATTATCCTAGTTAGCAGGGAAAAGGGAAATGGGCTTCCATAAGACAGAGAATTTTCTCTCCCACTTGGAATTTTCTGCCCCAGTTTAGCCTTCTTGGAACTGTTGGGTGTCTCTTGTGTGCACATTTTCACACTGGCATTTATTTTGTGCACACACATGCTTGAACTCCTGACCATCCAACAGGTTGAGACAGGATATTTCCCAGAGTACTAGGGGTAGGGGTGTGTTTTTCTAAAGGTGCAGGTTCCCATGAAGGGTGATCCAAGCATGGGGACCCACATGTGTTAAGGTACAAAGGTGTGAAATGTCCCAGTGTGTCAGGGATTGGCTGGGGGAGGCTTGAGGCAATTCTAAGGGTAGAAAGTTGAGTTGTGCTGAGAGTGGCAGCAGAAGAGGCTGGAGAAACCTGTAGGGGCCTGTGGATTGTCAGGGTCTGTTTAGTTTCCAGCACTCACTCACTTATTTGTTCTTTTATTCATTTATTTACTCATATTTACTGTGCATCTACCTTACAGACAGGGAACGTGTTTGGAGATGGGAATTCACAGGAAGGAGAAGACAGGCCTCCACCCAGAAGGCCAAGCCTTGGCCAGCCTTGCTTCAAGGGCCTAGGGGCTGAAAGGCCACCTGAAGATCACTCTGCAGGTACTCTAGAAGTCAGGTTTATTGGCCCATAACTTACATTTACAAAAATTTACCCCGTTTAGATGTCTAGTATAAATTTTGACTAACTCAGACATCTATGCAACAGCCACCACAATCTCCATGTCTATGTAACACAACACCACAATATAGAAGGTTTTGTTTGGCTCAAGCAAGAGCCCTCGTGCCCATTTTAGCCAGTCTCTCTTTCCAGTCCAAGGCCTGGCAAGTGCTGATCTGGCATCAGTTTCTGCAGCTTCCTGCCCTTTCTAAAATGTCATAGACATGGAATCAAACAGTACATAGCCTCTTGGGTCAGTCTTCATTCACTCATCAGAATAAATTCAACTTGCATCAAGTTGTGCTTCTCAAGAATTGATTCCTTTTTATTGCTAAATCATCTTTCATTCTATGGTTGAACCACAAGTAGGGTATTCATTCACCCTCTGATGGACATTTGGGTTGTTTTTAGTTGGGACAATTATGAATAAAGCCACTATAAACATTCATGCACATATATTTTGTGTGGACATATGTTTCTATTTCCCTGGGATAAAATCCTAAGAATGGGAGTGCTAGGTCATGTGTAAGTGTATGTTTAAGTCTACAAAAGTTGCCAAAGTCTTTTTCAAAGAGGCTGTAGCATTTTTACAACCTTGTCAACACTTAATATCATCCGGTTTTTAAAAGCCTTTCTAATAGGTTTGAGGTGATAGCCCTCATTCGATTTTAACTTGTGTTTTTCTAATGAGTAATGATATTGGACATCTTTTTACTGTTTATTGCCATCTATACCTTCTTCAGCAAAGTATTAGTGAAAACTTTTGTCCATTTTTAATTGTTTATTATTATCATCATTATTGAGCTGTGAAAATTCTTTATATCTTCTGGATAGCAGTCCTTCATCAGATATGTGATTTGCAAATAGTTTCTTCCAGTCTGTAACTTTTTTCTCATTTCCTTAGCAGCATCTTTCAAATGGGTAGATTTTATTGCTGAAGAAGTCCAATTCCTTGAGTTTTCTTTTTATGATTTGTGCTTTTTTGTGCTCTTTTAAAAAGTTTGCCTACCTCAAAGTCACAAATATTTTCTCCTGTTTACCAATAGAAATTTTATAGTTTTAGATTTTAGATTGTGGTCTATGATTCATTTTTCATTAATTTTTGCATGTGGTATAATATGTACTTTGCAATTTTTTAACATATGGATGTCCAATTGTACTAACATAGTTTGTTGGGAAGACTATCTTTTCTTCATTGAATTACCTTAGTATATTTGTTGAATTGACATGTAGGTCTAGTTCTTGACTGTTCTGTTCCATTGGTCTATGCATCTATTCTTTCTCCAGTGTCACACTGTCTTGATAACTTACAGTAAGTCTTAAAATCAGTGGTTCTTCAAAATGTTTTCGACTATTCTAGTTAGTTTGCTTTTGCCATGTAAAATTTAAAATCAGCTCCTGGATTTCTAATCCTCTTCTCCCCACCCCCAAAAGCCTGTTGGGCTTTCAGTTGGGATTGCATTGACTCTATGGTTTAGTTTTTGGGGCAAAATAGACAACACTGTTGAGTCTCCCAAGCCATGGACACAGTTCGGCTGCCCATTTATTTCTTCTATGATTTCTCTCATCAGTGTTTTCTAGTTTTCAGCATACACATCTTGCACTTATATTGTTACATTTCTATGTAAATATTTCATGATTTGGGGTCCGATTTTACATGAGTCTAGCTCTCCATATCCCAGGCAGCAGCAGAACTCATAAGCTCCATAAGTCTTTATCTTACTTTCTGGTCCATTTAAGCTGCATGTTGGCTCCTTGTCCCTACTCCTTCCCACCTGAGTAAAAGGTCTTTAAACCCCCGGAAAAGCAAAAGCACCAAGAAATCCTTACCAGTTACTCACAGCACATGCACATCTAATGCTCTTCTTTTAACTTGTGTTAATTTTCCTGTTCCCTCAATCCTCATAAGAACATTTCTGCACCACCCCGCTCCCAAGCACAGGACCCTTCTTTTCCCTTTGCTAAATCTGAGTTCAGAGATACCTGCCACCCCACATCTGGGCACAAGAGTTCATGTCCTTCTGTCATTACATCAGAATTTCATCACTCCCTGATGCGTTCATTCATTCATGTGCTAGGCATGGTGTTAACAGAACCATGGAGCCTTAGTGTTCCTAGACATCATGGTGACCATTTCTGGGAAAACCTCAGAACCAGAAGCATGACTGGACACAAGACATGCTCCTGATGTCTAACTTTAGCTGAGACCTCACAGCTGCCTGGTCATCCTCTTCAGAACTCCTGGAGGCGCCCTAGTAAGCCCTAAAGTAGAGGTTCCAAATCATCACTTTCCTCAAACACACACTTTCACTTCCTTCTCCTTCCTCCCTAGGAGTAAATCAAGACAGTCAAGCAGGAGCGTTCTCACGCTCTTTCAGATCAGATCCTCCATCATCTTCCCATCTGCGCTCAGCCAGCCTGAGCAGCCAGGAAAGCACTAGATGTTGGTCAGGACCATGGCCAGCACCAGCCTCTGTGCTTGGCTGGGGAGGCATGTGACTGGAACAGCCGATATAGGAACAGGCCTCCCAAAGCTGGAATAACTCCAGTTCTATCGGGCTTATCGTCAGCCCAACCTGGGACAGCCCCTGCAAAGCCTTGCCTGAGAAGTAGGCTTAAGGCAGTGGTTGGTGATGTCCACTCCACCCTTGGCTGGGGCCACCAAACTACGAACAACAGAGCCCACACATTTCATTCACCAATAAGCAGCCACTTTAGACTTCTCTTTCCCAGTTACGTCTTTGATTGTGTTCTCCTTTCACTTTATGTTACCTTCCTACATCCAAACCCCTGCTTTCAGGTCCCAACCTTTATCCCACCTCTGATACGGCTTAGGCTTGACCCTTCTTCCCATCTCTCTCTTTGTATTTGTACCATCATCCTGTGACACTTTCAGCTTAGGCAGCTCTTCCATTTTAACACCTCATATTTTCCAAGTTGCAGATCTCAGCCTCTGTTGAGGCCCAATGAATCCCCTCTCCATGGCAAGCCATCTCCTGGGGAGTGTGTGTGCGTGTGAGTGTGTGATGATGACACTGGACTAGGTCTCAGGCAGACAGCAGGCCAGTTTGGCAGCAGCTAATGGGCCCGACTGAAGTGATGCTGATGTTACACCAAGGGAAGGGCTGGCTGAGAACTCAGGAGATGAGATGAACCCGGGTCATAAACCTGGTGCAGACATTGCAGGCATTGTAGGGCTGAGGTGGAAGCATAGGGAACCTCTCCTGCCTCTTGATTCAATCAGAACTGCTCCAGATTCTGACTGGCATTATAAAGGATATCCAACCTGCACATGAGGGAACAGTGTGCCTACTGAAGCCTGAGTAGGGGTTAAGCACACAGACTTTGGCTTCTTAAAAATATCTGCTTAAACCCAGATCTGTTATTTATTAGTTATGTGGCTCTGGGCAACTTTCTTAACTCTCTGAGCCTAGCTTCACTATCTGGGTATATAAAGCTATAGCATATTGTTAATTGAAAAAAAGGAAAAAAGGGTAGCCAGTACTATTTTCCTTTCTCCTCAATCTATTTCTCCCTGAAATCTTCCTTCTATCCTCCTGACTCCCTCCATCCCAGGTATCCATTTCTTTTTCACAGGTGATCGTTCTCTCTGCCCTAGATGGTCCCCGGCAACTTGCTTTCTCACCTGGTCTTCTCTTCCAGGGTCTTTGATTTCTCCACTCCCTC